AGAGCTCCCTACCCCATACTATTCTCATGATCATATCAGTATAAAATTGGATGGTTCATTCAGGGTGAAAAGCACTTACATAAAAATATTAGCAGGTGTACGTGAGGGCTGCCTGACATCACCCTCTTACCAGAAGCACCTAAGCACTGGAGTTTCACCTTAGTGCATTACAGCAAATCCCAGGTCAGTCCCCCAGGGCACTTGGGACAAACATTCAATGTTCCAAAGCCAGTGTCTCCACTGCAGACTGTAAGCATACAGCAACATCAAGAGTACTGAAAAATAAAACATCTGTTCATCTCTCGGACAACAATCCTATCAGAGAGTTGAAATAATATAATAGAGGAAAACCCAAATAACAGACATGTTATCTATCAAAATAAGTGCTACTGATACTTGGGAAACTAAACACACTTTACATAGATCAGCACTAAACAGGCCAGAATATCACACAGGATTCTCTACTGGAAGCAGTGGGAAAAAAACTTCCCACCAAAACCTTGCAATTCCAAATACCATTTTTCATATCCCACTTAGTTTTTTAAGACAAATTTACTAAAATACTTCTAAACAAACAGAACGTCCAAAGAAAACGTTCTGTGCTTTCCTGAATTGTGCCAAGTTCTTGATATCCACAAAACATTTTATGTAATGTTAAGTGAGTAACATATTTCCTCTTTACTAATTTTGTTTGCTTTCTTTTATATAAATTTACTTTACTCCCTAGTAAAATACAGCAAAAAAAAAAATACTATCTAATCTCAACTCCTGTTTGTCAATGCATTTCCTGCATTAGTGGTCCAAAATTAAATGCAGCATGCTAGACAGGGTCTAATAAGCTGCAAGGGGTTCTTCCTTTCCAAGTGCAGCCTCTGCGTTTGTCCTGAGGCTCCTGTCTGCCCGTTCACTCAGCACAGCAGGTCCCTGTGGGTGCCTGCCCTGCCCTTGAGCAGATCAACTCACCCCCACCACACCAACACTCCCAGGCTTGGTGTCAACCCAAACATGCCCAGAGTGAACTTCACTGTGTCCTGCAGATCACGTTAAACTGGCTGTTTTCAGTCGTTGGGGTGTGATATCATTGGTTGGGTTTGGGTTTTCTTCTTGGATTTTTGGTTGGTTCTTTTGGAGTTTGGTTTTTGGGGGTTGTATGGGGGTGGGAGAGTATTTGTTTTGTGTTTGTTTTCTTTAAATATTTTGTAGTATTTTTGTCTCACATATTTTAAGTCCTGAAGCCATAATGCACAGCTTTAACGAATTTCATTTACTATTAGGGGGACTGGGTTTCAATACACTACTTAGCATTTGTACCACCAAGATATGAATGTGCTCAAGTCAATTTATATCCACTTGGAATTAAACAAAAATAATAGCATTAGCTACCATTAACACATCAACTTGTGCCTACACTTTTTTTTGCAGTTATTAAAAATGACCAGCTCTTTGGAGTGCTTTTGATCTAAGAAAATACTTTATTTTTCAGTTTCTCAGAGCCTTTGGTAAACTATGGCAATGAATGCCCTATAAAAAGTACTTACATTAGCAACTCACAACAATGTCAGGCACTGAATAATTGCAGATTTTGAAAGCCTGAATATCTGTTCAGAAGCTTCAGGTTTCTACTAAAAGCTTCTACAACATCTGTCAGAAGCATTTCACCCTGGAAGTCACATACAAATTCTCAAAGGTCTTCCACTTGCTTATTTTTAGAAACGAAAACAAAACCCAAAAAACCAAGTTTAAGATTATTTCAGTTACACTATTTTTAAGAATTTCTTCTCATATGCAGTGATTTGAGCTGAACACATTTAGATTTTCTGAAATATAACCCACTTTTTCTTTTGCTTTGATTCACACTTTTTGGAACACTCCATGCTCAGCACAACATCTACTTCCTACGTATCTAGTGAGTCACTTTTTCAGGCACCTCTAAAAAAACCCAGATTCATTAACTTGTAATTACTAAAAAAAAAAAACAAAAACCAAAATGAAATCTAATTATAATATTCTAATGTTATCACTGCATGAAAAATCCACTAGTTAACTAGGAGTTATTATGCTGTATCTACAAACACAGGAAGGAAGAGGCATTGCACCAGTTGTCTTTAAAAATATTACTACGCACAGAAAAACTCAAAGTACAGATAATCCCATCACCATCTCCTTCTACCTTTATCATACACATATATAGGCTTATATATAATGTTTAAAATATTTTAAAAAGCAAATCCAGCTTTAAGTACCTTCTTTTAATTGCTATGTATTGGTGATCCTGAAAACTCATTCTATTTTCAACCTTAATAATGCTGGTGTTACATAGACATTATCTCCCTGGGCAAATAACTTTTTCCATGCATAATTAAAGTGCCTTTATACAAAATAAACATTCACATCTTTCATCTGTAAGTAACATGTTATCTTCAGCTTGGTCTACTTATGCAACAAATTTCAGCTTATACCTTCCTCTGCCTTAGGAAAAAAATTCTGTACTACTTTCCTTGGCATAGCTTACTGATGCTCCCTCTCTTCAGGTTCTACCCTATTTACAGATAATACTGACAAAATTGTTTACAGACTATGTAGTAAACAGGATCACTCACATGATTCACTAAACAAAATAAAACTCCAAGCCCTCATGAAAAAAAGAAAAAAGAGTAATAAAGCATAACTGAAAGGCAGCTCAGGAGGCAACAGAGCCTGGAGTGAGTGACTGGTAGTGCCCGAAACTGGTATTGCCAAAGTCCACAACTTATGAAACTGTAATCCCAGATCATTAACAAACTATTTTGAAATGTCTGAAGGTTTTTCTCATTATCAAATTAACATTTGAAGGTATTTTATCTTTAGAAAAATCCAGACTTGATGAATGTCCTATATATAAGATTCTAAAAAATGTTTACAAATGCTCTGACAAAGAGAATTTGTGCAGGTTTAAATATAGGTCATTGATAGGATAATGACAATTTCCTAAATGAGATGTGCTTATTAGCAGTTATGTAAACCATGATAATAGATGTTCCTGCACGTAAATGTTCTGGCATGTTTTTGTTTGTATTTTGAAAACAGCACAGAATTTCTTAAAGTAGTTCTTGTGATTCAAGATCAAGCCTGTATTTATCAGTGTCTTCTACCTGCCTTTTCACAACAGCATTTGATACCTGTTATATCTAATGGTGCATTTCCCCCACCCTGCCAACTGCCTCACAATTTACCACTGTGATACTCAACCAGATCAAAAGCCAGTCCATACAGCCAACAACCAAGCACAGAATCTGAAACTCTCCTCACTGCTACACCTGCGCTTTACACCTTTCACAACACCACACCTAACAAGCAATAGGAGCAGATTCCAGGCCATGATCACAAATCCATTCTTTAGTTGTTTACTATGGCTACAGATGGCCACATTGGCAATTTTCATCAGACCTCTGTCAAATGTTCACATGATGTTATCCCAAGAACTATCAAACAAAATCCTTTTAATTACTACTACTACTAAGATTTTAAAACAGATAAATGAGTAAGCATATAAATTTTTTACCTGTATAAGAAAAGTCAAAGCTAACTGAAATTTAAAAACAAACAAAAATCCTTGAAGCTTGTCTATCAGTTAGCAGACTTGCTCAACACTCAGTGCTTTCTCAAATTAACCATCTTGAAAATGACAGATCATATTTGTAACCATAATAGAGCATGTGGGGGTCTTAAAATCTTTGTGAATAGTAAGAAAAGTTGATAAAAAGCTAAATGCATACTACTTTCTAATTTAAAAACAGCACAATAAATTGGAACATTTTACTTTGTTGAATCAAACAAGAAAGGTTAAAGACTAAACTGAAAGTATTTCAAGCACTTAAGTTTTCTAGAATCCAAGAATGCATATCACATACACAATAGAGCCAAAGCAAGATGCTTAATGAAACATTTAATACAGATAGCAGTTTGCACAATTACCTGCAGGTAACTTGAAAGCCACAATCCAGCCCTAAGAAATTAAATGCTTGTCTTGTCCCATCATGTCCAAGTATTGCATAATATAGGATAGTTAACAATGGAAGGTTTAAGAACTTTGACTGCGCTGTACTGCTCCATGCTGTGTCATACTACTGAAAAAATCTGCATGAATTACAGACCATATTATTCTTAAAATCCAGAGCTACACTGACTGCATTTAGCTTGGTGTGAAGCTAAAAACCACCTGACTTAGAACATGTTACATTCTAGAGTATAACATCAATATAGTTGGGGAAAAAATACAAGGCTGAGCAACTGCGGTCTGCCCTTTGTTAATTTTTCGCTAGATGTTTAAAATTAACTTGACAGTCATTAAGTAAAGCAACTTTACTTGTACCAGTTCAATCCCTAGTGGACAAAACATGCACTACAGGACCCCTCAATTTTGCTTAACAAGACTGCCAGACTTGAGAGAGGAACAGTGAGGAACACAGGATGTATTTTAAAACAATTTTCACTAACAGTAACACTATATCATGGAAGCCATCCATTACACTCCTGTTGCCACCTCTTATCAGAACCAAACAAACCACTCCACAAAATTTCGAAAGGACAAGTAGGAAGAGTGCCAAACAAGCACAGTATCTTTTTAAAATCCATTTTTCAATGCTCCTCACAATCAATTTTCACACACCAATAAAACAGTAATTCCTCTGCATTTGAAAAAAATACTATTACACCACTATATTGATACAATGTGCTTTCACGTTTGCACGTCTCACCTCAAAATCACCTATCTCCAGTAATAAATAAGCAAAGCCTTTCAACTAACCATTTTCAACTGTTAGCTTCATATACTTTTCATAATATTCCAAGTTTCTGCTTATTAAGAAATTACCAACTTACCTGTAAAGTTACCGCTTTAAAACAAATCTTACTCCTGCCCTATGCAACCACATTTATGACAGCAAACCCAGAGCGGTCCGCAATCTACAGAGACTTGCTAGAACCAGCGTGCAGTTTCAGTGTTTAAACGAACACCTTACCTTGCCTGTCTTGTGATCAAACCAGACAAGAGCATGGTTCCTGGACAGCACCTTGCAGTCAAACGTGGCGTTGTTCTGGGCTGGCCGGCAGCGAGCCACGGAGCGGCCGATCTTGACGGGCTCGTCCAGGTAGACATGACGCTCCTGAAACGGGTGGGAGTTCGGGCGGCAAGTGAAGATGGCCAAGGCTGAAGGCATCGAGGACAGATTGCGGTTGCCACACCAACCAGAGATGAAGAGAGCCTCTTCTGATGCAGACTGTCCTCCACAATTTTAAAAACACCTCCACAGCAACTTTATATTAAAGCAGGAGAAATATTATCACGAGAGGCTTAACAACTCATTGTTTCAGTGTGTAAACTAATTCTGGCAATAATCCAGTGAAAAAGTCCCATTATGTCTTTTAATAATATCAGCAGTGGCCCAAAAAAAGTCTAAAACGTACAACTTTCAATCCATCCTCCCCTGGAAGAATAGGAAAAAGCATCGGATTCCTTCAGAGAGAAGCAAAGGCCCCGTGAAAGAAGGATACAATATCTTAAATCCAAGTAGATGAGTCATACAAGTACTTTTGTTTGTAACCTCAACTGCCTTCTTCCCCCTCCCTTCCGTAAACAACACTGACCAAAAGTCTGACCAATGCAACATGGAAGCAAGGAAAGGGTTAGGGAAGGGGGATGAAGGAGAAAGAGTAGCGTCCTCTCACACACGGCACAGATCAGGAACTGGAAGGTGAATACAAAGCCCTCGTTCCACAACAGGGACCTAATGGTTCACCCAGCAATCGGCATTTCACCATCTTCGTGTGTTAAACCCCAGCAGAAGAGGTGGTCCTCGATACAGGATGGAGTGCGAGAGCTACACTGTTTTTCTCCCTTACACCAGATAAAGCTGAACTGGTCTACAGCTTCTGGGAGCCGCTCAGATAATGAACTTGATAAGGCATGGAGAGGCTCCCAACTCGCCCTCTCCCGGGGACAAACCAACGCGTGGGAAGGGTTCTTGGGGCCGGCCTGCGAGGTTCCCTGACAGGTCGCTCCCCGGCGGTGGCTCCGGCTGGCGGCGGGGTCGGTGTGCGTCCCTCGGCGGCGGCTCCGCAGGGGCGGGCAACGGGGGTTGCCCCGGGAAGTGCTCGCCAGGAGCTCCCGGCGCGGCGGCGGCTCCGCTCAGCCCCTCCGCAGGTGACTGCGCATGAGGCGGGCCCGCTGCGCACCCCCGCGCTCTCCGCCCGCCCAGTGCGGCTCCGCTGCCCCGGCGGCGGGAGAGGCCTGGCGGCCGGGCCCGGGCGCTCCCGCTCTGTCGCTCTGCCGCTCAGGAGGCCACCGGCCGCAGGAAGTTTCCTCCAACCTGCGGGGCCCAAAACAAACCGGGTCAGGCGCGTCCCTCAGCGCGTCCCCCCGCGTCCCCTCGGCCCCGCGGGCGGCACGGGACGCGCCCCGCTCCCCCCTTACCTTGCGCGCAGCCGCCGCCATAGCGCCTGGAGCCCTTCCCGGTGTGGCCGCGGCGGCGGGGCCGGGGCGGGGCGGGGCCGGGGGCGGGCAGCGTGCGCACCGGCAGGCCTCGCGCATGCGCCTTGCGCTCGGTGAGGCTGCGGCACGGGCGGGCCACGCCCCGCTCCGGGCGCGCGGGAGGGGGCGGCGGGCCGGGCCCGGAGGGGAGAGGGCTGAGGGGAGAGGGGTCGGTGTTCCTCCCGAACGGCGCCGCTGGCACGGGGCAGGCCGCTGAGGTGAGTGAGCCCCGGCCCCGTGCCGTCCCTTTGCCCTCGCTGTTCTCAGCTCTGGGAGGGAGGGGGCGAGCGCGGCCCGTCGGCCCTTATAAGTAAGGGGGTGGCAATGGCCCGAAGTTGTGTTGAGGAGGTTAGGTTGGATTTTGGGAGAAGGCTTTTCACGCAGAGGGTGGTCGAGCACTGGAATAGGCTCCCCAGGGAAGTGGTCATGGCCCCAAGACTGCCAGTTCACAAACCTTCACAAATCACGGTGAGATTCTTGGGGCACCGTGTGCAGGGCCAGGAGTTGGACTTCATGATCTGAGTCCAACTCAGAATATTTTGTGTTTCTGTGAAAAGGTGGAGCTCAGAGGAGGAGCTGGGGTTACCCTCTCTCAGCAGAGCTTGCATGTGAAACTGCAGGAGTCTCCTGAGCATCCTCCTGCTTTCCCTGTGCGCGTCCGGTCGTTTTGTGACCCGAGCTTGAGAACCGAGGGAGCCGCGGTGCGGTTTGATGTGTCCTGGGCCCGCAGGAATGCTGGCCGCGTTTGCCGTGTCTTGTTGCAGGTTGGCAGCAGGAGCAGGGGGATTCCTGGAGCAGTGGCTGCAGCGACAGGACTGACGCAGGGTCACTGGTGCTGTGTCTTCCTTCAGTACGCCATGGAGCATCATCCAAGGTCATATTTATGCCTGTTTTCTAGAAGCCAAGGAAAGGTCACTTGTCAAGGTCATCTGGTGCCGAACGAGTCTCTCCAGTCCAAATACATTTTTAATTCCGTCATTCCCTGTAAAGCAAACAAGTGGGAATTGTTGATGTAAGATAGATGTTGGGGTCGTGCCAGCACTATAATTACCCTGTGACAGGGTGTTAGGATTAGGGATGTGGGAGATGGCAGAAAGAGCTGGCAGCCGTGGAGGACAGGAGAGGAGCTGGGCCAGGCACTTCAGCAGTGGATGAGGGGAAAAGCAGCGATCAAGGTAAGGCAGTGCAGTGTATGACACAAAGCATGACTGGTGTGTTCTTAGTTGTAGCTCAGTAAAATCTCAGGGCTGTCTTCATTTTTTTTTCCTTTCTTTATGACTGCATTGTGATTTGGGGAAGGGAGGTTGATTCATAACAGACTAGTTTTTTTCCAACAATCCAGTGAGAAAACGACAGCGAAACAGAGAAATGAAATCCAAGATTAAAAACAGGTCTGATTTTGTGAAGACGAAAACAAACAACTGATAGGTGGAATGCTTAGAACTGTTTATCCATAGTTTTAATTCTCCTGACAGGGAAAAAAAAATCTGGCACGTCACTTCATGGCTTTCATCAGCTTATGAGATTGTACTACTCTGATAAATATAATCATAATTTGCTCTTACTAATTTTTTTAATAAGTGGAAATTCAGTGTGGCTGTTGCTTACAGCACACAAGGTGCCATAACTAATCAAAGGGAGAAAGAAAGATAAAATTGTGATGGAGAAAGAATAAATTTAGGTCCATGAGAAGCTACATTTGAGGGAATGAGTTGCGTAAATAGAAATAATTGAGAGCACTTTGGATTTGCAAAGTGTAAATAGTGGGGACAAAGGGTGCTACAGGTGTTGGAATCAACAGAATGTTTCTGAGAGCATTTTTTTTGTATTTTTGTGTGCATGTTTAATGGAGAAAGGAGACTAGAAGTAAAATTAGAGATGAAAAAGATTCATTACCATCTATAGGACCTAAGAGAATCAGGTAAAATAATAAACTGAGCAGTGGATACATTTCTCTGATGTTCTAAGTATTTATAATAATAATAATAATAATATAATATAACTGTGTCATTTAAACTGTAAGCCACTGGCATATTATGTTTTCCTGAACCCTTCTTCATCCCCTGGAGAAATCCCACTGTGACAGGCTCACAGAATGGTATGAGAAAACTAGCTGGCAATGGTATGTGCCTTCCTAGTTCTCTTTGGCACTGCCAAAAGGCTCATGGAACAGCTGAGCTGTACCCCCTGCTCATCGAGGACATTAATTTGAGCCTTCCTTCTCTGCATGAGTGCCAGCTCTCAGTGGAGCTGCGTGGGTGTAGTTATCCCTCAGGCTTCTCAACTCCTATTTCAAAATGCCTGATGAGTTCAGAAGTTATCAGGGGCAGAGTCAGAGGCTGATATTATCTGGTGCAGAGTCAGATGAAAATACAGAAAGCAGTGGCATTCTGAGAGGATACAGTTGTTGTATGGGGATTTTATGCTGTGTCTGCTGCTTACCAGAAAGTGTCCATCCCAGAACTGGAAAGCAACAGGTGGATGAGGTGTATGAAGTGCTTGGCTGCTGTGCTGTGCTCGGAGGAGGAGGAGAAAGGGGAGGAGGAGGGAGGAAGCCTCAGCTCCTTCTGCTTCATTTCTGCGGACGCTGTCACACAGCTGAGCAGGCAAGCACCTTGCAGCCATGTTAGGTAAGGGCAGCAGGAGCCAGCTGTGTCCCTCCTTTTTCTGGGCAGGAAGTCCATGAAAATGTTGTGATAGCCATCATAGCTGAGGGCAGAAAGAGCCTGTTCCATGCCATCTTGGATAAGGGAAAGGGAGCTCTTTAAGGGACTGTCACATTTGTCCCTTAAAGAGCTGGTGTCTGTTTCAGGAGGATGACATGCAGCTGAGATAGTTCATGTGCATACCTGCAAAACATCTATTTTTGGCTTCTAAAACATTCTTGAACCAAATTGTCAAAAAGTAAGGAAATGTTTCAGAGAAGTTTTCTCCAGTGTTAAAAAAATTTGTTCTAATTATCACCCCAGATTTAGTGAAGGGTTACACATTTTTATTTTAGTGCTATTCTTGTTCGTTAGTTTCAGACTTATTTTCTGTTTGTGATCTCTTAACTCTCTGACTGGTTATGTAAAGAACAATTGCATTATCTTTATCTTTCAGCATTAATTTTGAAAGAATAAGCAATTTTACCAGTCTAATCCTCTCTTGTCAGGTAGGTTCTCCATTTATTCCATTTTCTTTCAGATCCTTCCCTGCTCCTATTTTCCGGTTAAAAAAGGATACTTGTATCCAGTATATAAATGAGAGTCTTATCAACATAACACTTAACATTAATGTAATGTATGTAGTGAGCATATACTGAACATACTATTCAATTTAGATTATGTAATAAATATGAATGTTTTGTACAATGATTTAAAATCTATTCTTTATTATGTGCTATATATCCTGTTTATATATATAAAGTACGTTGCACAGTATGTTGATAATACATGTATTTGGTATATATACATAAGTATAATGTAACAGGCATAACATTAATACATGTTGTGCTAATATATAGCTAATTTTACATGGTTTTAATTTCAAATTAACTCAGGCAAATTGAAATGCCTGGCATTTTCACTGCTTTATCATTTTAGCAGAACATAGTCATCATGTGGCCAACCCTTATTTGCTTTTCTCTTCATATATCAATTTAACAGTCAATATTAATTTTGACTTTTTGAAATGTTTGATGTTTTCTGTGGCTGTTTGAAAAATGGAAAAGATTATTTAAAAATAATTATGGCTTTTTTTTGGTGTGTGTGTGTTTATTTGTTTTAACTGAATGTATTTATTAGACCAAATATAATTTTCAAATACAAATAAAATACTGCCTTAAACTGAAATCTCGAGGCGGGGGATGGAGGGGAAGATGAGATGAGCAGATGATGTTTATGCAGTTCTTTGGTGTTTCTCTGTGGATGTGAGCAGTCTGCACAGTCACTCCCTGCTGAAGCTGGTGGAACCTGGCCAGCCAGCAGCCAACACAACATTTGCTGCTACCTGATAGAAACCATCCTGCTGAGAGACGCAGGGCAGCGCCGCGGAGATCGCAGCTGTAGGAGCAAGATAGAGCATGGAAGAAAGCAGGGCAGGCTCAAACACTGTGGAGCAGTTGTGGATCTTCAGAACCCAGCTGTCCCACACAGGCCTTTTCTCATTTTTATTCCAGCAACTGGCATCGAGGGCATGCTTTTTCTAGCAGTCTCTCTTGTCCAAACCTTTCCAGATATTAACAGATGGCTGTATTTCTGCAAAACAAGGCAGAGTGCCACATTCCATATGCAGAGCCCTAGTGTTTTATGAGGCTTTATTGTAATTTGTAGCAAAATGCTCTCAGGTGGTTCCCAACTCTGTCCTGGAGATTTGTTAAGGGCACGTTCCATGTTAAGGGCACGTTCCATATGCAGAGCCCTAGTGTTTTATGAGGCTTTATTGTAATTTGTAGCAAAATGCTCTCAGGTGGTTCCCAACTCTGAAGTCTGTTTTTTGTCCCGCGTTGATGCTTCTTGAAGAAGAAACTCAGATGTTTCTAAATGTTACAATACATGCAGAAATAGTTTTCCTTCTCAACTGAAGGAGATAATCACATTTTATCAAAACTAAAATGTATTTTAAATGGCTACGTGAAAATCTTCCTGAATCACTGTTTATTGGGAATATCTCCAGTAGGTAAGAGTCCTTTCTTCTGTACTTTTTTATCAGGGATCGTGTGTCTATTCTCAACTTTCTCCTGCCAAAAGATTATTTGTTAAGCATCCAATGAAATTAATTTACTGTTTAATAAAATGTATCACTCTTAGTAAGTACTTTTTTTTATTATTTCACATGGATACACTTACACTTTTTTATTCACATGGAAATTTAAAAAGGGGCCAGCAAAAACTAGAAGGACATGCATGATGATAATAGCTAAAAAATTTGGTTTGCACATGACAGCAAGAATATAAACAAGGGAAGGCTTATTAGAGGCAGTGACATGAAATCTTTTCTTAAACCAAGTGATAAAAGCTTTTGGCCAGGCCATTTAAGTTCTTAAATGGAAACAGCAAATGAAATTCCACTGAGACTCATTGCACTGAGTTTGAACTTGATTAAGCTCAGTCGTAGTCATGTCTTTTTGTCGAAAGTAATCTTCTACAGAATTTAGGAGTTAACTACTTGAAAAATCTGTGAGTGTTGCCTGGTATCACTGTAAAATACATGAGAGACAGCAAGAACCTTCCCACAGAGCCTGCCCGAGGCTGCACACTGCAGAGCCCCATTCCTATCTCAGTCATCTAACATTCGCTTTGCTACTCATGCTTTATGATAACTGAAGGCTGCTGTACCTCAAGTTATTACCATGATAATTTTGTGTGTTATTATTTTGTCTGAGTTATATGTTTGTTCATCTTTTGTCTAGAAAATTACTCCAATGATCAAAGCATACTTTAATTTCTAGCAGTTTGCTTTTGATGGATAAACAAATGTTGTTAATGGGCCTTACGGAAACAGTGCAACAGAGCAAGGAGTCCTACGTTTTCTTTTAAGTATATATAGATTTATCATCTTGGTTTTAATATTTACAACTCCTGTTCTGGAGAAAAAATGGCATGTAGTGATTCAGGTAGCAGCTCATCCACACCTACTGCTGCTGAAGCTGTTCTAGTAGCAGCCAACCAAAAGTCTGGTGTGAATAATTTAATTAAAAGAGGTCAGGAGTTTTAGGTGAGGTGAGTGCATGATTTTTTTTTTTTTTGTTAAATAAAGTAGCTATTTAGCACTTTTAACTCTACAAAATGTTTCATAATGAAATATAAATAGCTGTTGGACTGTATTAAAAGAATATTTGAAAGCTCTTACATTATTAAAGAGCTTGGGCTTTGGCTAAGGCACTAAAAGAGGGTTTAAGAGATTTAGATGCTTTTTTTATTATCCCAGTTTCCCGTGAGGTTGAAGCTGTCCAGCCATGAGCCAGAGGGGCATTTCCATGTCCCTCCCGTGCGGTGCTCAGCCGTGCATCGCTCACGATGGACACACGCCTGTTAATTACTCGGCAGCCACGGCGGCCCCCAGCAGGTGCTGCCACTGACATGCCAAAGAGAACAGAAAGCCGATTGATCCGTTACCTGCAGAGCTGCCCTCGCGAGCACCCGGCTAAGCACCCGGGGCCGGGTGCGGTGCCTGCGGCCCCGAGAGAGGAGCCGCTTTCCCCGCCCGACCGGCTCCGCCCGCCCGGTGCCCGCTCGGAGGGGCCGGGCCGGCCCGGGCGCGCCGCGCCCCTTCCCTGGCGGGCCGCGCGGGGGCGCTCCCTCCCTACGGCCCCCACCTCCCCCCGTTCCCCGCAGGAATGGTTTGGCCTCCCCTCGGTGCCCGCTTGGCCCCTCCCACTCCGAGCGGCTCCGGGGGAGCGGGCGGGGCGACACGAGTCACCTGACTCCGCGCGGCGGGGCCGGGGTCGGGGCCATGTCGCGGCGGGAGCGGGGCCCGGAGTCAGGGCCGGGTGGTGCCGAGGTGGCTGCGGAGGATGCGGAGCCTGCGGAGCCGGAGAGTCCCGACCAGTGCCTATCGCTGCTGCCCTGGGACCGCTTCTCAGCCTGGCTGCACTGCGTGTGCGTGGTGGGCTTCGACCTGGAGCTGGGCCAGGCCGTGGAGGTACGTGCGGCGGCGGGCGGGAGGCACCGCTCGCCCTGCGGGCTGCGGCGGGGCCCCGCCGGAATCGGGCCCTTCCTCTGGCCCCGGTGTTGCACAGAGGCGGGGGAAGCTCGGCCGTGCTTGAGGAAGCGTGGCTGTACGGAGCACCCGGAGCGGCGAGCGGGCAGGAGCCGGTGATCCGGCTCGGCTGTCCCGGGCGAGGCTGGTGCAGCTCTGCTCGTGGCGCTGCTTGTGCTGGCAGCGGGCGCTTGTAAATGGCTTGCATCGCTTCCCGAGATTTGTATGAAGTACATGGTCGGCTTTCTTTGCGTACGAATAGCGCTGGTTTCTATGGCATCTAGGTGTTAAAAAGTGTGATAATAAGGAGTGAGTGAGTGATCTTCATCATTAACAGCGTTCTCCAGGTCGCTGAGGTGTGCGGGAAGGTTCTCTACAGGTTTGAAGTGTTTTCCTTCAAGCTAGGTGCCGGCCCGTGGCAGTGTCACGGCTGCGGCTCCCAGCTGTGCTCTCTGTGCAACAGGCAGGAAAACTGTGGCACCGCTTGGAGAGGGCAGGGACAGGGACAGCTGTGGCAATGCTTGGGGAGGGCAGGGACAGCTGTGGCACCGCTTGGAGAGGGCAGGGACAGGGACAGCTGTGGCACCGCTTGGAGAGGGCAGGGACAGGGACAGCTGTGGCACCGCTTGGAGAGGGCAGGGACAGGGACAGCTGTGGCACCGCTTGGAGAGGGCAGGGACAGGGACAGCTGTGGCACCGCTTGGAGAGGGCAGGGACAGGGACAGCTGTGGCACCGCTTGGAGAGGGCAGGGACAGGGACAGCTGTGGCACCGCTTGGAGAGGACAGGGACAGGGACAGCTGTGGCAATGCTTGGGGAGGGCAGGGACAGGGACAGCTGTGGCAATGCTTGGGGAGGGCACGGGCAGGGACAGCTGTGGCAATGCTTGGGGAGGGCAGGGACAGCTGTGGCACTGCTTGGGGGGGCAGGGACAGCTGTGGCACTGCTTGGGGGGGCAGGGACAGCTGTGGCACTGCTTGGGGAGGACAGGGACAGGGATAGCTGTGGCACCGCTTGGAGAGGGCAGGGACAGGGACAGCTGTGGCACTGCTTGGGGAGGACAGGGACAGCTGTGGCACCGCTTGGAGGGGGCGCGGGGAGCTCACAGTGCTGGGAAATGAGAGAAGAGTTACTGTTCGGGTCACTTTCACATCCTGTTTCACCCTGGTCACCATGTGACTGCGCATCGAACTCTTGGTCTGCAGGGAAAGTCTGTTTTTCTTTCTCTTGCCTTAATGGGGTGCCAGTGTAAATGCATGGCAGACTGGCCTAAAATTCAACCAAGCTATTACAGTATGTAAAATACATGACTGTTGGCCACAAAGAAGTGCAGATAATGCCAGGATACTATGCTAATTATCTGAGTTCTCTTCCCTTGATGTTACAAGGTGGTGATAACAACAAAGACAAACGTTTCTGTATAACCTGTGACTTGGGCAGCTGCTGTGCTCAGTGGCTGAGGGAAGCCCAGCCTCTGTCCTGGCTGAGACTTCTCAGTTGACAGTCTCATTAGTTTAACTAGATATATAAAATGAGATTTAAAATGTCTACAGAACTAAGGCCTGTTTTGTTGGGTTTTGGTTTTGTTTGTTTGGGGCTTTTTTGTTTGTTTTTTTTTTTTTTTTTTTTCCCCAGTATGTAGCTGCAGGAAGAGTAATTAGCTTCAGTTTATATAGGAATTCTGGGAAGAAACACCTGCTAGTGAGGAGAACGAGTATTAATTCATCTGTATGCCAGTCTTCTGACTAAATATGGGTAATTCAGCATCATTCAGCTTCTGAAATTTACATTTAGTGTACAGCTGCTTAGCATAAGATAGCAAAGGAAAGTACTAAGAGTTGAAAAAAAGACAGTGCTAGGTTTACTGCATGCAGAATGCAGGTGTTCCACTGGTGCCTGCTTTCAGCTTCAGTTGTGCTAACAATGTCTTACACAGCTGGCCACCATTTGATAGGAGACTGAGGGGAAAAAAATGCACTGGAGACTTTATGGCTGGAGGACAGAAAGGTGCTTAGTCAGAGATCAGCCAGTGGGTATATCTGTTGTTTTCTATAGAGTAGGATAGTGTTGTGTTACCAGGAAATAAATTTACTTGCATTTGGTAGAACAAGATTGAATGAGATAATGGGATGTTAGCTGTATGGTAAGATGAGGACTGCATGAAGCTACTGTTCCTGCATTCAGCTTCTGCTTTTTTTTCTGCTTTAGGTCCCATCTTTGGAAGCCCTGAAACCTTCTTTGAAACATCATTTATGTCAATTTCTCTGGAATTTATGTCAAATTTTTTCTGCTTATAAGCTAGCCACACATTTCAGGAGTTTTGGAGGAGGTTGTGTGTTGTTTTGAGGACCCTTTTAGGTGAAATTTAGGTGTCTGAGGTTTGTCCTCTTTAGTGTGTGTTCTGTTCCCAGCTGCTTGCATAATCACTGATTTTGTACATCCTTTATTTTCGGAAGTAATTGTGCTTCTGCTTCTTAGCTGTGTTGCATCATTGTTGATTTCTGTGTTGTGCAAACTTACTACATGATCTGTTTGTTTTTCTGTAAGTACAAAAAGCCATGACTTCGAGTTTATTCCTTGAGCTTCCACAGACGTCATTAGGGACTAGTGTTCATCCTCCAAGAGCTGGTAATAATAGAGATCTTGTTTTGTGGTTGAATTTTGTTACTCCAGCCTAACTTTTGATTGCAACAGATTTCAGACAATAATGTGTGTTTGTTTTAAATGTAATCATCTACTACGTTTTGCATGTACCAGTTAAATCTAAAAGATGTAATCTTGCTCTCCTTTGAGACCTTTTGCACAAAAAAATCTCAACTACTCTGAATGTATATTCTGAATATGCCTTTTTAAATCAACATGTGTGGTCTCTAACTGGCATCCAAAATACCTTGTAAAGATGGGTGATGAAGAAAGCTTAAAAGCATATGAAGATAAGAACTGAGACATAATATTAATAGCTTACAATTGAAAATGTCCTACAGCTGGGAAGGGGTTGTCCTACAGCTGTTCAAGGGTTGTACTGTTAAAATATTTGATGGAAATTTATTGCTTCTGCCCAATTTATTTT